CGGTTCAAACCCACCAGCTGCTCCTCAGAAGGAAGGTTGGGCAATCTACTTCCATAGTGATACTGCCTCAGAAACCCAAGGAGGGGTCGCTATGAGTCAGATCCAACCCGATGGCAGTTGCATTTGGTTTTTGGTTTGGTTTCTTCTCTTTGTGGACAGACTTCTGAAATTTTGTGATATTATGCTTTGATGTGAGCCTTTTATCTCCTATTGTCCTGAACACTGTGGTGTTTTTAATTGAATGCTCACATCACCCAGTTTTGGAAAATATTCTTTAATTTTTTTTAAGTGATTTCCTCATGTCTATTTCTTTTTTATATAATTTTTTTAAATTTGTTGTTGTTGGTATGGAGAATTAATTCAGTGACATTGATTACATTCTTCAAGCTGTACAACCATTCTCATCCTACTTTTCTGAGTTCTTCCCCCATTAACATAAACTCAATACTCTCTAAGGTTCCAATCTAATTTTTTTAGTTGCTGTTGTCAGTTTGATCAGATATAGATAGTTCTTAAAAGAATATAATCCTCAAGGCAGAAATTCTTTACTAGTTACGATAAACTATTATTTGGTTTTAAAAAGATTTCAGGAGATATTTTTGGTTTAAGGTTTAAAGATTATCTTAGGGCAATTGTCTCAGAGGTTTAGTTAATTTCTTTTGATCTTTATTTCTAGACTCCTATTAGTCAGATAAGGAGCTCTAGTAGCGTAGTGCCTAAGGCACTTGACTGCTAACCAGAAGGCTAGTGGTTCAAACCCACCAGCCACTCCTCGGAAGGAAATTGGGGCAATCTACTTCCGTAGTGTGTTGGATTGGGTTCTCTAGAGAAACACAAATTTGGTACCAGGAGTGGGGTACACGTAGTGATACTGCCTCGGAAACCCAAGGAGGGGTCGCTATGAGTCGGGTCCAACTCGACGGCACATAACAACAACAGCAACATTAGTCAGATATTAAACCTACTACTGTGATTCTCATCATTAATATCACATGCAAGTAAAATTTTGCTGAAGGTAATTCAAAAACAGTTGCAGCAGTTTACTGACAGGGAATGGCCAGAAATTCAAGCTGGATTCAGAAGAGGTCCCAGAACAAGGGATATCATTACTGATGTCAGATGGATCTTGCTGAAAGCAAAGAATAGCAGAAAGATGTTTACTTGTATTTTATTGATTATATGAATGCATTAGACTGTATAGATCACAACAAATTATGGATAACATTGCAAAGAATGGGAATTCCAGAACACTTAGACCTAGAGGCTGTTGTTCAAACAGAACAAGGGGCTGTTGCATGGTTTAAAATCAGGAAGAGTGTGTGTCAGGGTTGTATCCTTTCACCATACTTATTCAATCTGTATGCTGAGGAGATAATCCAAGAAGAATGCAGCATCAGAATTGGAGGAAGACTCATTAACAACCTGTGATATGCAGAATGACACAGCCTTGTTTGCTGAAAGTGAAGAGGACTTACTGGTGAAAATCAGACACTACAGTCTTCAGTATGGGTTGCACTTCAATATAAAGAAAACAAAAATCCTCACAACTGGACCAATAAACAACATCATGATAAATGGAGAAAAGATTGAAGTTGTCAAAGATTTCATTTTACTTGGATTCACAATCAGCAACCATGGAAGCAGCAGTCAAGAAATCAGGCATTGTGTTGCACTGGGCAAATGTGCTGCAAAAGACCTCTTTAAAGTGTTAAAGAGCAAGGACGTCATTTTGAAGACTAAGGTGTGCCTAACCCAAGCCATGGTATTTTAATTGCCTCATATGCATGTGAAGGCTGGACAATGAATAAAGAAGACCAAAGAAGAGTTGATGCCTTTGAATTACAGTGTTGGTGAAGAAAATGGAAAATACCATGGACTGTCAGAAGAAGAAACAAATCTGTCCTGGAAGAAGTGCAGCCGGAATGCTCCTTGGAAGCAAGAATGGCCAGACTTCGTCTCACTACTTTGGTTATGTTGTCAGAAGGGACCATTCCCTGGAGAAGGATACCATGGTTAGTGAAGTAGAGGGTCAGCAAAAAAAGGGGAAGACCCCCAACAAAATGGATTGACACAGTGGCTACAACAATGGGCTCAAGCATAGCAGGGATTGTGAGGATGGCACAAGACTGGGCAGTGTTTCATTCTGTTGTGCATGGGTCACTATGAGTTGGAATTGACTTGATAGCACCTAACAGGTGAGATTCTCTAATTTTCATAATTTTGATCACCCCTTATCCATTTTTGTCTTTGTGTTCCTCTTTATGGGAGATTTCTTTAACTTTCTCTCCAGCCCTTCTATCAGTGTTTTATTTTGGTATCTTACTTTTTATACTCATAAGTTTTATTTTGTCCTTTGACTGTTCTTTTTTACTAGCCTCCTGTTCTTGTTTTATATATGCAATATTTCCTCATCTCTTAACTCTCTAAAAATATTTATGATAGTATCTCCTCCCACCCCAATTTTTCTTCTGCTCCAAGCATTGTCTGTTTTTTCCTTTTTTCTATTTGATTATTTTGGTCTTTAATATAAGAGACCTTCCTCAAATTCCTGATGTTCTTCTTTGGCTGTTCATAATAAAAGTGCTGCATCTTCCTGGAGTATAAACCTGATTGTCCTCCTTCTAGTTACTTATTTAGGGGCAGAAGTATGGAGGAATTGTTTACCTTTCAGTATATAAAGTTTTTCTTTATATCTTGTTTCAATATACAACTCTTTCCCTCTTGAGAGAATGAAGATCCAATCTGTTTCTGGAGTGAAGGAGGCAGTTGTTCCCCAAATGATTGGCGTGTTAGGCTAGGTTCTCTAGAGAAGTAAAACCAGTGAAGCTTATATAGGTATATATATAGAGAAATATTTATCTCAAGAAATGGCTCAAATGGTAGTGTTGTTGTTGTTGTTTTTTGTCGTCGAGTTGGCCCCGACTCATAGCGACCCCTCCTTGGGTTTCTGAGGCAGTATCACTACGGAAGTAGGACTGCCCAACCTTCCTTCCGAGGAGTGGCTGGTGGGTTTGAACCGCCAGCCTTCTTGTGAGCAGTCAAGGGCCTTAGGCACTATGCTACCAGAGCTCAAATTCCAAGGCTGGCAAATCCCAAGTCTGTGGGTCAGACATCAGGCTGGAGGCCCCTCCTGACTCATGTAGCTGAATGAACCCAAGGTCAACAGGTCAGACCACAAGCTGTTGGTTCATAGGCTGTGGAGGCTAACAAATCACAAGATTGTCAGGCAGGATGGCAGCCCACTGGTTCAAGTCCATAGAACTGAAGGTAAGAAGATGATGAGCCAGATGCAGGCTTCAGATTGAGCAAAACAGCCAGAGAGCTTTGCCAGAGTGTCCATATATATTGAAATCAGGCCACACCCCTGAGGAAACTCCCTTTCAACTGATTGGCTGCTCATAGCAGTTCTCATCATAGAGGTGATTACATTATATCAGATCTTATCATGGGGGGTGACTATATCATAACTGCCAAACTACTAAGAATTGTGTCCCAGCCAAGTTACTCATCAGAGTTGGCATGGGGTGGGATCTAGAAAGCCCACTGCTTCTTTTACAGATTTTCAAACAGTCCTAGTGTTTTCTGCCTCACTTGCTATCCTGTATCCAAACCCCATCTTCAGAGGTACTTAGCATCTCTAACTCCTGAGCAGTTCTGAGGCTCTGCAGTGTGGGTTGGTTTGCTTCCGGGCATTCCTCACCTCCATCTGACATTTCAGCATTCTTGGGTCTGTTCTGTCAGATACCACTCATCCATCTACTCTCCAGGTTCCAAAATGCTCTTGCTGTATTCTCCATTATCTTTCTCTTAATAGGTTTATGCTTTAAAAAAAAATCCTTTTATTGTCATTTTAGAGGGGTTTCAGAAAGGATGAAGGTAAATGAATATGTTCAAGCTGCCATATTTAACCAAAAGTCTTGCTGTTTTTAATTCCAAGTTTCATATTTATAATTTTTAAAATTTAGATAATCAAAAAGTATCCAAAGTTCTGTGTGACTTACATGTGCACCTGAGTTCCTTAGGTCAGTGGTTCTCAAAGGGTGGTTCCCAGTTCAGTAGCATCAGCATCAACTGGGAACTTGCTAGTAATGCTAATCCCTGGGCCTCACCCCAGACTTACTGAATCAAAAACTCTGGAGGAGGTGCCCAGGACTCTTATTTGAACAGCTTTACATTTGGTTCTGATCCTCACTAGGATATGAGAACCACTGCTGCAGGTGATCTAGGGATTCTGAAAATTTGAGAAACACTACCCTACTCAACCTTAGTCCCACATTCAATTCTTCAGATTGAAACCTATCAAGATGCCCAGAACAATAAAAGGACTGTTTTGAGATAGTTGTAATAGGAGCTATCTTCCTGGGAAAGCATTTGTGGATTCAGCTGCTTTTTCCCCCATGTTATCTAGCTGTTTCCTAATGCTACCTTATGAAGCTCCTGGACTGGGATCCCTGAGGCCAGGAACTCTTGCAGACTAGGTATGGAATGAGAAAAAAAAAAAAAAAAGGCAATCTGAACTATAGAAGTTTAGAGAAGAAGATATATCAAGGACTTATCCCCTTTCCACATCTTCTACCATCAACAGGTTGGGAGAGGAGCTTCCAGCTTCCCTCAGGACAAGGAGCCTCATGGTACAGGAAAATCCTTGTTTTGTCTCTTGAATCACCAGACTCACTCAAGGAAAGAATGTTAATATTGTGAAGGTTCTTCACCTGCCATTAATTTCCTTCTACCTTCAGAGAAAGAAAGGCTGCCTATCAGTTCAGCCACGTACATATCTCTCTCTACCCCATCCATTTTTGGATGTGTGAACCTGTGTTCCTCAATCTACATCTGATCTTCTTGTTTTCTCCTCTTTCCTTGCCCCACGTTGGTGGTGTTTGTTTTGTATTTCATATTTTCACATTTTGAACAATCACAGCAGCTCATCTCTCCCTCCTGGATGGAGCTCCCTCCATGGCACAGTTAATATTCCCACCCTTTCCTACCTTCCTTTCCAGGTATGTCTTCACTGTCATTTACACTTTTGAAGCCTTGATAAAGATACTAGCAAGAGGATTTTGTCTAAATGAGTTCACTTACCTGAGAGATCCTTGGAACTGGCTGGATTTTAGTGTCATTACCCTGGCGTGAGTATTTCTCCATGTTGATTCACATGTAGGTCCGTGGAGGGCTTATGGGTATTTCCATGCTTACACTCTAGGGATGTGCCCTCATTTCAGTCCAGCTTCCTCATTTGCAATGGCATGACCTGAGATTTTCTTCCCATTGAGTGTTGCTTCGGGGATCACTTTCCAGGAGCTATCCATACCCACAGAGAAAAATCAGAGACCTGGAGTTTGACCTTATGACTCAGAGTTGACCAGACAAGGCTCAGCTTTGTACTGACCCAACATGGAGGTCTTTCCCTGAAGAACTAGCCTCTGAGGAGACTAGTTGGCCAAGGCTGCATGTTTGGATATCCGTACATGTGAGACAGAGAGACCTAGATTGTAATCCATCTTCTCAAAGGACCCATTCTAGAAAATATTGCACCCTTAAGTCAGTATTAGGGAATCTATTGGTAGAAGAACCTCTAGATTCTCAGTTTTTATGTTTTGGGTTCTTCCTAGGCTTGTGTTACCCAAAATTGTCCTTATTTATGGTACATCCACTCCCAAGACCCTCTCCTTGCAGAGATGCTGACTGCCTTCTGGCCCTACAGATACATTGGCATATTAAAAGAAGACTTACGAGGAGTCTCAGGCCTGCGGACATTCAGAGTTCTTAGAGCTTTAAAAACAGTTTCTGTGATCCCAGGTGAGAGACTTTAACCAGCACATTTATTCACAGAGTAATATGTTGGTTTTCAAAGCCTAATGTCCGTTGAACTTCACAGGAGCCCAGTAAGCTTCCAGGGCAAGGACTATTGTCTCCATTTAAAAAAAGACAAAGAAACTGAGGCCCAAAGAGTAGAAAACACCAGCCCACTAATAAGAGGTAAAGTGAGACCTGGAAGCCCAAGGTCATGATTCCTAGGCCAGTCTTCTGTCCACAGGACTGTGTGGCCTCATCAGCAATAAACAACAAGAATGCTATGTCCCCATTTTCTGTTCTTATTGTGGCAAGACCCTCAGTTGAATTCGCATTCATACCTGAAACTAAAGGCTTATACTTGGAAATAGGGAAAGAGGGACGAGACAGTCCTAAAACTCTGGTGAATATCTTCAATTCTATAAATCTTAAAGCTTGAGCCTCATTCCTGTCTTTGAATCCCCCAGAGGAAATAATAATTAGGCAATTTAAAAAAAAAAATTTATTGTGATTTGGGTGAAAGTTTACAGAACAAATTCACTTTCCATACAGCAGCTCATACACTTTGTCTCATGACATTGACTGCAATTTCACACAATGCAACAGCTCCCCTTCCACTTCCTCTTCCCTGTGTCCTTCCCTCTTATGCACTCCTGCCCCCCAAGCTGTCTCCCTGTACATACACAGCCCTTTTATTCTCCCATGATTGATCTATCCAAGGAGTGTATCTACCTAATATAAATGTTCAGCTTATATGCCTGTTTTTGTTTGTCTGGAAGCCACAGGAGTAGGTTCAATTCCAGGCCTGAAGGGCAGCTAGAGGCCATAATCTCAGGGGTTCCACCAGACTTTATCAGACCAGCAAACCTGTTCTCTTTTTTCTTTTCTTTCTTTCTTTATTTCTTTTTTTTTTTTTTTTAATGATTTTGAGTTTTGTTCCACATTGTTTTTCCACTCTATCCAGGATCTCCTACATTGATCCCCCTCCGAGTGGTTGACCATGGTAGCCGGGCACCATCTAGTTCTTCTGGTCTTATAGTTGTATAGGCTGAGGATCGCATGGTTTACCAGTCCCTTGGACTAATTGTTTCCATGTGTCTTTGGTGTTCTTTGCTCTGAATGAGGAGAGACTCATCGTTGCATCTAGATGACTGCTTGCAAGCTTTTAAGATCCCAGGCACTACTTGTAATTAGGCAATTTTTGATTACAGAGGATTTAGAAACTGAAGTAGTCCATCATAGTTCATCTTACTGGACTTTCAAGATTCCTGGCCTCATCAGTAGCCCAGTGACAAACTCTCAACTCCTACTAGATTGATGGTGGGCATGGTAAAGAGAGAGGCATGGCAAAAATCTCTGAAACAGGACCTAACACTTCCCCCTTGTGGCCTGATAGGTATTTCCCCCCACTTCTGAGAATTAGTTCCCTTATGTAAAACAGAAACAACCAACCTAAATTGGAAGCCTCTTTCTACCATTCTACCTGCAGGGAATGATTGGAAAGCCTGTCAACTTTCATTGGACAAACTTCTTTGTGAAGGGAGCCATAGCAAATAAGTGGCCAGTTCTGTCCCTTGATGTCTCTCTCACATACTCTTAGCTGGGAAGACCCTGAGAAGTCTGTCCAGATCCCCTCTCCTGGCTCATCTCTTACCTCTACCCACCTCACATAGTGTTTCAGAGTCTGCCTGTGGTTCCACAAGTACTCCATGCCCTTGCTCACCTCCTTGCCTGGACCATGCCTCTCATCTGTCAGCAGTACACTTTCTTCTCTCTTTACTCAACTCATACTCGTATTTAGGGGCTCTGACAAGGCTTCATGCCCTCAATAGAACTCCTGATCTTTCCCAACTTCCCCATACCCCACCCAACCCACCCACACCCCCAAGCCTCTGTTAGAGACTGCCTAACATATGCCATATGCTTAATAAATGCTTTCTGCTCAATTGTCAGACAAACCCACCATCCACTCAGCTCTCAGCCTAGGGACTAACACATGTTAGTGCTCAATGGATGTTTGTCTACCAAATTACTAGTAATCTAGTAATTCTAGATTACTTCCCTGGCACAGTGTTTTGCTATCCATCAAGCTACACTCCCACAGAAGGTGATTACATTTGCTACTGCAACAAAACATCCCTCTTTAAACATGCAGGGACTCCATCTTTGCAGCCAGCTGTGCTTAGCTCTTACATAACTCCAGTGTTCTCTCTGCTTTTTCCTCAGTGACTCTCTCACAGTGTCTCATGGTCTCACACTATGACCATGTTCATCTCTCTTCCTTTGCAAATCTGTTTCCCTCTTTCTCTTTGTTTCTCTATCTCTGTCTCACTCTGTCTCCCTTGCAGCTCTCTCTCTCTCCACTCATACACAACATATATACAGAAAAGTTTATGTGACTCAAGACTTGCGCTATCTCCGAGAACTGAGGTGAGTGCAGAAAAGTAGCCGCCAAATGACTGAAGTGAAATTAGTAGCCTCTTGCCTAGCATAGTATCTGGCACAGAGTATTGTTGTTGTTGTGTGCCGTCGAGTCAGACCCGACTCATAGTGACCCCTCCTTGGGTTGCCAAGGCAGTATCACTACAGAAGTAGATTGCCCAACCTTCCTTCCGAGGAGTGGCTGGTGGGTTTGAACCACCAGCCTTCTGGTTAGCAGTCAAGTGCCTTAGGCACTACACTACCAGAGCTCCCGGCACAGAGTAGGTACCTACAATTACTTTTTAAATTGCTAGTCTCAGCAATTTGTTAGGCTTAAGATGACATGAAATGTGTTGCCTCAGTCTCAGTTGCCTCGCTTTGCAATGGGGACAATAGTTTCTGCCTACCTGTTCCAAAAGGTTATTGCAAGGTTCAGATGAGGAACTGGGTTTGGAACTGCTGTAGAGTTTGTAAAACATCTCAACTGTGTGTTATGTGGAGGAGTAATAGTCAAGCAAGATACAAGTGCTTTGGGCACATGTGTGTGGTTGTGCATGGTGCATTGTCCATGTGGGAACACTCCTATCATTTCCCTGCAGGACTGAAGGTCATCGTGGGAGCACTGATCCACTCGGTGAAGAAGCTGGCTGATGTGACCATCCTCACCATTTTCTGCCTGAGTGTCTTTGCTCTAGTGGGCCTACAGCTCTTCAAGGGCAACCTCAAGAACAAATGTGTCAAGAACTGCATGCTTCTTAATGGGACTGCCAATTACTCTGATAAGATCCATGAGTGGAATTTCTGCCATAAGGGTAAAGGTCTGGATGACAAGGGGTGTGAAGGAACCACATGTCTGTATTGGACATGTATTTGCATTCATCCGTCCTGCTGAAATGTTTCCCTTGAGTTATATTTTACTTTGGGGCTCTGCATTTCCTGTTTCCAGTGCCCCTTTTGCAATGAAATGAGCTATAAATTATTCTGCCTGTGATGGGGAAGGCTCAGAGCTGAAGTCACTAGTCAGCTTTTCTCTTCTCAAATATGGCTTTTCACTATCTGCATGGCCCAGCATGCCCACTGAGTACACATGGCCAAAGGAACTCACCTTGCTCAGCAGGAGACTTAGGTGTTGCCTTCATTGCACAAGGCTTCAGTTGGGGGTTCACAGCCATTTGTGAGGCTTTCATTTTTCCCTTTCTTTTGCAGATTTCCAAATCAATAAGCCGGGAACTTCTGATCCCTTACTATGTGGCAATGGATCTGATGCAGGGTGAGTGCCCAGCCCATGATGAAGCACCAGTGTCCAGAAGTACTTTCTCCATCTTGTCATCAGCGTTTTCTGGACAGGGACTGGGTTGCAGGCCCTGAGGAATTTGCAGAATGAATAAGTCATAGCATTCACCATTTCAGAGTTCATAGGGAGGGAGTGTATGAGTTAGCTTTTGCTGTGTAACAAACCACCCCAATATTGAGTGGCTTTAAACAGCAACCATTACATTTAACGTATGACTCTGCTCACCAGCACCTTGGGCTGGCTGATTTATGTGTCTCCAGGCAGATGCAGATTGGTGGGAAAATGGTTGCTCTAGGATGGTCTCTGTTGGGATGACTTGTCTCTACTCCATGTGGTCTCTCGTCTCCCAAAAGGCTTGTCTGGGCTTGTTCTCAGAGGCAGGGTTCTAGGAGGGAGAAAAGAAGCCTGCAAGACCTGTTGAGGCTTAGGCTTAGAGCTGACACAACATCATTTCTACTGCCTTCTGTTAACCAAAGCAAGTCACGGCCCAGGGCAGATACAAGAGCTGGGGAACTAGACTCCACCTCTTGTTGGAAGAAGAGGAACTCACCTTGCTCAGGCAGGAGACTAGGTGTTGCAAAGCAATATTGCAAAAAAGTATGAATACAGGAAGGGGGAAAATTGTGGCCACTTGTGCAAACAATCTACCACAGGAAGGACTAATATTTATTAAATATGTGTTTTGTATCAAATGTTCTACATTTAATCATCGTGACTTCATAACGTGGGTTTTGTTATCTTCATATGGAGGAAGAAGCACATGGATCAGATTTTGCAATATCAAATTCTTACAGAGGCCTGACACATGAAAACAAGTGAGTGGAGTGGTGGGGACCATGGCAGCTGAAATTCCATGCCCCATCTGGAGGGGACAGCCACTGCTTGGCCCAGCTTTTGAATACTATGTAAAAATGTGGGTCTGTTGCTTTCAGCTCTTCCAACTTTTAAAAGAGAGACAGAAAAACTGGATTTTTATGTGAAATCTCTGAGCTATAAACATTTGCTTCCAATTCCAAAAAAAATTCTACATATTGTGGGACCAAAAAAAAAAAATTGCAGGCCAAATTCAGCCTACAGGTTGCCACTTTGCAAGCTCTGACGTGTATATGTAAAGGTGCTACACTGTGGAGAATAAGTGCTGAGCTGGAAGCTCCATGGGCTGGGGAAATACAGCAAGGTGATAGTAAGGAGGCAGGGGAGGACATAGCAGGTGACGGTCAAGGAAGTCTTCCTGGAAACAGTGGTTGGGTGAGCACTGAAGGGCAGATAAGAGTGTCTCCACATTGGACTGAAGAGACGGTGTTTGGATGGAGCCCATTTCAGGTGGAACAGAGTATGAGGCAAAGCAAAGGGGTGGGGACCCTTTGGTTCTACCTGCTTCTTTGGCAATGAGACATGAGCAGAAAGAGTTCAGACAACAAATCAAAAGGCCCACCTCCATGGTTATGGGCCTGGGAGATCAGAGCTCACAATCTATCCGTATCTTTGAGTGGTTAAAAGGCCCATATTGCCCAACTGGAAATGGGTGTGGCCTGCAGAAGTCTTGCTTAATCAGCCCACTAGAAAAACATCAGAGATCACTGAAAGGTGGGAGCAAACAAGAGGATTTGGTGAACATCAGGGTCTTTATCCTTCTTCCTCATAAATGCACTTGGCATTTGGTTCTTTGGCTCAGGGAAAGAATTGTTCTGATGTAAGTTTTTATTTGTCTTTGACTTAAATTGAGGGGCCCTCAAGGTCCTCTTCCTGTCTGGAGATGGTATTTCTCAAGGTGCTGACTCTAGAGCAACCCAAACACTGTTGGTGGTAAAGTTGTGGACCACCTACAAACTTCTCAGTTCCAAAAGAGACCAGGCATTCTGTTGGGCAGGTTCCAGCAAGACAATGGAGGAGTGGGTAGTGCTGGGATGGTAGGGAAGGTCCAGCTTAGGACAATGGTCAAAGTAGCCCTGAAGGGACATACTGTGAACACCAAACTCTGGCCCTGTGCTGGACCACAGAGAAGCCAGAGCCCTATGCAAAGTCCCACACTGATCAGTGGCAATGTGGGAGGAAGTGTCTGAGGTCTCAAGGTGAACAATGTTGTTGTTGTTGTTGTTATGTGCTGTCGAGTCGGACTCAACTCATAGAGACCCCTCCTTGGGTTTCCGAGGCAGTATCACTACGGAAGTAGATTGCCCCATCTTCCTTCCGAGGAGTTGCTGGTGGATTTGAACCACCAGCCTTCTGGTTAGCAGTCAAGTGCCTTTAGCCACTATGCTACCAGAGCTCCCAAAGTGAACAATAGGTACTGGGAAACGCTTGACAATTTTCAGTATTCTTTTACATCTATTATTCCTGTCCATTCTCTCAGTAGCTTCTGAGGTAATTTGCATTTTCCATATAATATTCACTTTGCTCCCATTTAATCCTCAGAGCAGTTGGCACTGATGCACTAAGCAGTTAGCTGTTAATATATAGCAACTACAGTGTGGTTCTGCAGAAGACAGAAATAAGGCTACCTTCAGAGTTAACTAGCAAACCTACAGGTAATGGCCTGGCTAGCTTCCTAGGAGAACAAATTAAAGGATGTCTCTAAATGTTAGTTATAGATCCTGGAAACTCCCAAATCTCCACCAAGTTTAGAGACAGAATGAGGATTGATTATAATTAAGTTGCTGGAACCCTAATCAGTTTTATGGGTCCTGAGATTGTGTATTCACAGATGTGTCTGGAATAAGGAGGGCCCAAAAGAGATAGTGTTGGTGGAGGTATCCTGGGAGCAGAAGAATCTTGAACTGCAAACAAAGCATTACTGTTTCCTTAACCAGGCCATCCTCACTGGGGTGGGTAAAAGCACCTCACATGCGCTGAGTTTAAAGATTATCCTTGACATCAATTCATCCCTTCATTATGAGAGAGAGAGAAAGAGAGAGGGGCGGGGGAGCGATAAAGGAGCCAACAGCCTCACACCTCATTACTCCCTCAGCAGTCATCTTTAATTTGGCCCTCCATCATCAGCAACTCAATCAGGAGAAGGCTGGGATGACTCCAGTACTGAGCTGACAGTTGTATTTCTCTTATGTTGACAACTGTATCATTTAAGCAAGTGACTTCTCTGAACTCCAGTTCCTCATCTGTAGAGAGGGATTTTGGAGGGAATTAAATTACAGTGTTTGTAAATTGAGTAGGAGAGCACACAACACACAGTTTAAGTGCTTCTAAGTGGAAAGTGTTATTTTCATTGTTATATAATTGGTCAATGGAACTGGCCCATATGAGTTCTCCATTGATAGACCAATCTCCAGGCTTGAGTTGTCAAACTGCATCATTGTCACTGACTCTCTTTCCTCTTGTATAAACTTGCAAAGAGCTTGCCCCCTACTGGGGTTATGTCTGAAAAGTCAGCTAGCCTTTCCCAAGCTGCTCCCCTAGGCATGGAACTGTATCCAGAGCTATGAAGTGAAAGTATTAGCCTCTCCACTTTATGGATGAGAGAAACTAAGGCCTGAAGAGACTAAGTGTCCAAGATCACCAGCTACTAAGAGGAAGGCCAGGCCTTGAACTCTGATCTCTGGCTTCAAATTCTGTGGTGTTCCTGTAGCCCTGGGCTGCCTTGCCCCTAATAGGCATGGCACTAAACAGTGGATGACTTTCTCTGTTCTTGCTGCAGTCACTGCCCTGAAGGTTATTTCTGCCTTAAAACAACTGAAAACCCGGACTTTAACTACACCAGCTTTGATTCCTTTGCCTGGGCTTTCCTGTCACTGTTTCGCCTCATGACACAGGATTCCTGGGAACGCCTCTACCAGCAGGTATTGAGCTACATATCCCCACACAAACTTGATCAGAAGCTGTTGGGTCATCTGCATGATCCATCTACATTTGTTTTGTACAAACCTGACTTAACTTGAAGGATCTGTGTGTTATGGGCACAACATTTCTTTCTTCTTTCTCTTGAATCTGCAGACCCTGAGGGCTTCTGGGAAAATCTATATGGTCTTTTTTGTGCTTGTCATCTTCCTGGGATCTTTCTATCTGGTCAATCTGATCTTGGCTGTGGTCACAATGGCATATGAGGAGCAGAATCAGGCTACCCTTGACGAAATTGAAGCAAAGGAGAAGAAGTTCCAGGAGACCCTTCAGATGCTCCAAAAGGAACAGGAGGTTTGTGAGGGGGCAACAGCTTTGTGAAGTCAGTTGTAAGCTGTAGATTCCTAGGAAAAGGTCAGGACCAGCGACTCAGATTAAGGTTGTCATTCTAGGGACCTATAGTAGGATTCAGCTAACCTCAGGTATGGTCTTAGGCCAGCTTTTCTTAAAGAAGAACCTGATCAAAGATTCTTGTGCAAGTGATTTATTGAGGGACAGCTTTCAGGAGAGGAATGAAGGAAGCAGGATGGGGCGGGGGATGAACTGAACAAGGGAATGCTGTCATCTGGAGACAAGCCTCAGTCTGTTTCCATGGGGAGCTCTGGGGCATGACTGGTACCACAGGGTAACCCCTATCTTGAAGCAAGGGATTATACTCTCTTATCAATTAGTCATTGGATACAGGCTGTTCCCCAAGGGAAGGAAGCCAAAGAAAATTTTCTGAAGACTGCTGCAGCTATGAACCATTAGTAACTAACACTCCTACCAGCTGGAGATGGGTGTACTGATCTGATAGAGGGAATCTGGGCAGGGTACCAACAGAGTCTACTAAAGACTCTGGATATGAGATATGACCCACAGGTGGATCTTCCTACAATGTCACAATCCCACCATCACCCAGCTTCTGTCCCTTAATCTCCTATGTCAGATACCCTCACCCTATGCTCCCCCATATCTGGGGAGCACATTTATGTAAAGCTCAACAAGATACTGTTGGCTGCAACTTCTGTTCTCTCTCCTCAGGTACTGGCAGCGCTAGGGATTGACACAGCCTCTCTCCACTCCCGCAACGGATCACCTTTAACCTCCAAAAACACCAGTGAGAAAAGGCACAGGGCAAAGCCAAGAGTGTCAGAAGTCTCCACAGATGACAACAAATCACCCCAATCTGAGGCCTACAACCAGCACAGGATGGTAAGGGGTTTATATTTGTGCTCTAAAAAGATTACCCACCTTCTCAGCTGTCATGGACAATGGGCTGAAGTAGGAAGAGATTTGTAGCAGGGAGAGAGCTAGAGGCATAGAGATTAGGATATTTCAATAATCCAGACCAAAAACCAAACTGTCGAGTTAATTTTGACTCATAGCAACCCCTCCTTGGGTTTCTGAGGCAGTATCACTATGGAAGTAGATTCCCCACCTTCCTTCCAAGGAGTGGCTGGTGAGTTTGAACCACCAGCCTTCTGATTAGCAGTCAAATGCCTTATGCACTACGCCACCAGAGCTCCCAGTAATCTAGAACTTTCCCCAATAATCGTGACCTAAACTAAGGCAAAGTCATTGTGAACAGGAAAGGAGTAGATTATAAAGACTTTTTTTGGTCAAAACAAATAAGACTAGGATTGTGAAATGTGTAAAAAGGAAAGAGGAGGCCAATATGACTTCCAGGTTTCATGATTGGGCAATTAATTGGGTGGTGATGCCAAGACAGGAGGCCTGGAGGAAGAACTCATGTTTGTAGGGAAAGTGGTAACCTTGATACTGGTTATGCTGACCTTGAAGTATATAAGGACATCAAAGGTCACCTGCCCTCCCTCAGAAACTAAAAACTACCAAATTCACTGCCAGAGTCAATTCCAATTCATAGTGACCCCAATTGGGTTTCCAAGGCTGTATGTAAATCTTTACAGACTGCCCCATCTTTCTTCCACAGAGCAGCTGATGTGTTCAAACCAACAACCTTTTGGTTAATAGCCAAATGCGTTAACCACTATACTATCAGAAGTCCTTTGCCCTCAGACACTGTAGCCTGCAACTCTGGAACTGCATTGTTGTCCTGTCCGTGGTGCTGAACTCTTTCACAAGTTTCTTTCTCACTTCATGCCTCAGGACCTGCAGTCCAGATTTTCACTTGTTGTCATGGAAGGTCCCATGAACTATCTCTGTGATATGATCCAGCATTATAAATCGCTTCAGGACATCATTTCTGACCTTGTAGAAATTCTACCCCCCCCATAATAGTCTTCTGCCTCCCACTTCAAGATTCCTGTACTCGTCAAGTTTCTTCCCTTCACCTCCCTTACTCCCAAAGTTTATGTACTCCAAATGTGCCCTTCCCACATGAGTGCAAGAGAATAATCTTCTGTGAGAGTCTAGTTCCCACACTAATAGAGAATCAACATTGCTGTTTTCCAAAACTCCTGCCCCTCACTTCCCTCTCAACCTCTTTTCCTGTGTTCACCTGAAGGATGTTCTTCTTTTTGGAATATCATGTCTCCAACCCCCAGACTGATATTCACACACACACACATACACATACATACACATTGACCTAAATCATACACCCACACTGCACCATTTATCTACATCTGTGCCCTTCTCTTCCTTGCTCTAACTCTTTTGAGCATCACCTGGCATGCACAGGGCACAGCTCAGAAGATGTTTCAAAGGGAAATTGACTAGGGCTCTGACAATCATAGGGCAGGATGAATCATAGCTTCCATGGAAATACAATGGCACCCTGAATTGGGATCTCATTTTCCCATTCAGTCAATCCCACACAGATTAGCACCTGGATGTCCAATAATTGTTTGGTATGTGTCCACGCTTGTCTCTTCAACAAGGCTTATCTTCAAAGGGAAAAAAAGAACTGTGTCTTGTTCATTCAACAATACCAAATGTTTTATATAAAGAGATGTCTAAAACATGGTCCCTTTCCTCAAGGACCTCTAATTATATAGAGGAAGCAGATCTATAAACAGCTATGCAATAAATATTATAATAAAGGTAAATATATAGTGATACTGCCTCAGAAACCCAAGGAGGGATCATTATGAGTTGGGTCCAACTCGTTGGCACACAACAACAACATAGTGTTTTGGGAGCACTGGTAGCATAGTGCCTAAGGCATTTGACTGCTAACCAGAAGGCTGGCAGTTCAAACCCACCAGCCACTCCTTGGAAGTTAGGCAATCTACTTCTGTAGTAATACTGCCTCCGAAACCCAACTCAACGGCAGTGAATTGCTATAGTGTTTTGAAGGAGCTCTGGTGGTGTAGTGGTTAAGGTATTTGGCTGCTAACCAAAAGGTCAGTAATCTGAACCCACCAGCCACTCCATGGAAGAAAGACGAGGCAGTCTGCTTCCATAAAGATTTACAGCTGTGGAAACCCCATGGGGCTCACTATGAGTTGGAATCTGCTCGATGGCAGTGGGTATAATTTGGTTTTGGATGGTGTTCTGGGAACAGAGTAGGGAGGATCCACTCTTATGAGGATAGTGTATATCAGGAAAGGCTTCACAGAGGAAGGGATAACTGAGATGAAGAGTAAATGGTGATTAGGGGTTCCTCCAGAGACTGGGGGCTGAGAGAGTTTAGGAAGGAGTGTATTTCAGGTAGATGGAAGAACCTGTGTGTGCAAAGGCAAGGAGACATTGTTTGAGTACTACTTTCATGCTAACTGATTGACTGGAATTTACTCATAAAGGCAAATCCTTCCTCTTTTTCCGGATGTGTTCATGTGGTGAATAAACCTTAGGAAGTTTTTATATAAATCCATTTTCTGACAGAGCCACAAGCAGAGGTTGGAGCAAGGACCTGGAAGAGACACAGCAGAGGCTGCAGGAAACACAGAAGAGCAGTTGGCCTTCTTGGATGATGTATTTTAAGGATCTAATTCTTAGATCCAGATGTCACTGCCCACCATTTGTCAAATAGGTTATTTGTAAAATATTAGTTGATGACCAAGGAGGTGCTCTGTCAAATATGGAACCAAAGTTTTCTTCCCAGGTTTTTATGTTGGTTTGCTTAGTGCCCAAGTGCACATAACTCAGTCTTTCCATCTTTTAGGTGGGTTGCCAATTCTTATTATTTGCTTTAAAAGTGGGAAGAATTCATAGATTTTGAGTTCCATAGTCTTTGAATATGTATTCTAGACAAAGAACACTCTGCTTATAATAACAGGTTTCCAATGATGGTTGCTAAACAGGTTTCTAGAAATTATCAAGAAAGAAAACTCCAGTTATGTGAGATGAATAAATAAGGAGATAATAAGGAGAAAGGAGTAAGATTGAAGTTGTCAGGGATTTCATTTTACTTAGATCCGTAGTTAACACACATCAAAGCAGCAGTAAATAAATTAGCCATCATATTGCACTGGGAAAATTTGTTGCAGAAAGATCTCTTTAAAGTGTTAAAGAGCAAAGATGTCACTTTGAAGAGTAAGGTGTGCCTAACCCAAGCCATAGTATTTTCTGTCACCTCATATGTTTGTGAAAGCTGGACAATGAATAAGGAAGACCAAAAAAGAGTTGATGTCTTTGAATCGTGATATTCATGAAGAATACTGAAAATACCATGGACTGCCAGAGAAACAAACAAATCTGTCCTGGAAGAAGAACAACCAGAATGCTCCTTGGAAGAGAGAATGGCCAGACTTTATCTCACCTACTTTGGTCATACTGTCAGAAGGGACTATTCCCTGGAGAAGGATGTCATGCTTGGTAAAGTAGAGGGTCAGTGAAAAAGGGAAGACCCTCAATGAGATGCATTCAATGGCTGCAATGATGGGTTCAAGCATAGGAAGGATTATGAGTATGGCACAGGACCAGGCAGTGTTTTGTTCTGTTGTATATAGGGTCACTATAAGCTGAGCTGACTTGAGAGCATCTGACAAAAATAATAGCTCTAATTGGCAAGATGCTCAACTTTAGCAATTTAGTAAATAAATGGAAACAAGGAAAAAGGAAATATATAGCAGTATGCTCCATGTTTGGCAGAAAGTCATTGTTTAAATTTTAGTAACACTACATACAACCTGAGAATAACATTAATGGTTTATTATGGTCAAGTTCCCACGATGGTCCTGGAGATTAGTGAAGCTGGCACACTAACTCTCTAGAGGCTCCTGGGCCTGTGAATTAGCTCCTTTCCTCTGGCAACTATAAGCCACACAATTCCCTCAGTGGAAGATTTTGATGGGAAACATTATTGATTTGAAGGGATGGCATTATTCTTCCAGGAAATTAGACTGCAACTCTCCCTTCAATCTCCCCATTGTTACTGTTCAAAGCTTGCCTCAAGGGATCCTGGAAGCTCATTATATTATAAAGCACTTGTCTCTTCCTTTGCAACACAAACTCTCACATCCATACAGACTGGTTCTAATGAATTGTAGAACCTAATTTTCAGACAATAAAGTGCACAACTCTTTGATTTAACAGCCATTTACCAAGCATGTTTGTACTAGTGCAGCATAATAGAATCTCTTTTGGTCATAACTCTGTGTTAGGAAAGAAACTTAAGAGACAGCTTTGTCCAGCCCTGTGGCCAAAAGCTGGTAAATAGCTGACCCATCTGAGTGACAAAGTTGTCCTCTGACATGTCCTTGGCCAACATGGCCTATTCACTGATCTTAAACACTTCATACTCTCTCATCTCTCCTGGACTAATCCCAGAATCTGCATAGAATATTCTTTTCCCTAGTCCCCTTCCCTCTTCCCCCACATGAATACCAAGAGTACTGGTTGTGTCTTGAGTTCTTTATCAAGCCCCTGGGAGGTCATGAAAATAAGGACAGGGAAATGGGAGTGAGTGGAGGGAAATGTTGAGTTCCAGACTTGTCTACAGGACCAGCTTTCAACCTGCCTTTCTTCATTCCTTCTTTGGGGCAATGCCCAGTCTTTCCTAGGCCTTGCCTCTGGGAAACGCCGGACTAGCCATGGCAGTGTGTTCCATTTCCGAGTTCCTAGCCGAGACTTCTCGTTTCCTGATGGTGTCACAGATGATGGAGTCTTCCCTGCAGACCGTGAAAGCCATCGGAGCTCTCTGTTGCTGGGTGGGGGTGCTGGCCAGAAAGACCCCCTCCCTAACAGCTCAATTCCTCAACTCTACAACTCTGGCTCTGGGTATGGAGAAGATGGACACCCCACACTGCCCACTAGTGAGCTAGCCCCTGGAGCCATGGAAACCTCGGTGAGCTTGTAAATACTTCAGACTCTATCAGGCTGCCCTCCAGGTAGAGGCCTTGGGCCTAGAAGCCCAGGGTAGTACCAATAGACATCAATCCTACCCCCATTTTATAGTCAGGGAAAGTGAGGGCTAGATAAAGAGATGGATTTTCCTGAGATTGAACAGGTTTTCTGGTTTATTCTGCAATTCAGTGAATGGATTATTTCTGTTTGACCCCATATCTCTTTACAGTGTTTCTCTGTCCCCAGTAATTATCACTATTTTAGAGATAGGCCTACTTGCTCCCTGGATGAGTATGGAAAATACTGAGGGCCTTCTCTTCCTGCCTGTGGCTCTTTCCAACTACCCTAGGCTTGACAAATGGGGCCCAGAGAAATTCTGAGAGGGGCCCATTGAGGAAGCGACCTGCCAAAATGTACAAATTAGGCACCAGTGACTAACTGACTAACGCTCTTATTAGAAAATAGTCACAAAATGTTTAGGGCAGGGATTCCTCATTGGATTGAGAGCTGTGATTTAATTTGAGTTTTCCCCAGTTTCATTAATGATTTCCCTAATGTTTTTTACTCGCTCTCTGGTGAGTCAGGAATACAGAGAACTATTCCACTGGCTCAGATAAGTCTTACAGAGTTGTCACATAGCTCAATCTCTGATTGGATGCCATGTGATTCAAGGTCCCAGCAAGAAGCAAAGGAACTTCTCCAATGGGCAATAGGAGAGAATTTAAAGACAAATTTACAGACATATGGGCTGTGTTAGTCCCTGGGTGGCAAAAACAGTTACACACTTGGTGGCTAATTGAAGGCTAGAGGTTCAAGTGCACAATTAAAATAATAATAATAATAATTTTTTTTAAAGAATGTGATTCGGGTGAAAGTTTGCAAAGAAAATTGGTTTTCCATTCAGCCAGACGGATCTTGGCTCAAAGCAAAGAATGCCAGAAAGATGTTTACTTGTGTTTTACTGACTATGCAAAAGTATTCGGTTGTGTGGATCATAACAAATTATGGATAACACTGAGAAGAATAGGAATCCCAGAACACGTAATTGTACTCATGAGGAACCTTATATAGACCAGAAGGCTGTCATTCGAACAGAACCAGGGGATACTGCATGGTTTAAAATCAGGAAGGGAGTGCATCAGGGTTGTATCCTTATATCTTATTCAATCTGTATGGTGAACAAATAATCTGAAAAGTTGGACTATATGAAGAGGAACGTGGCATCAGGATTGGAGGAAGGCTCATTAGCAACCTGTAATATGCAGATGACACAATCTTGCTTGCTGAAAGTGAAGATGACTTGAAGCACTTACTGATGAAGATCAAAGACTGCAGTCTGCAGTATGGATTACGTCTCAACATAAAGAAAATGAAAATCCTCACAAATGGACCAATACGCAGAATCATGATGAATGGAGAAAAGATTCAAGTTGTCAAAGACTTCATATTACTTGGTTCTATAATCAATGCCAATGGAAGCAGCAGTCAAGACATCAAGACAGGGAGGAGCACAAGAGCTAACGGCAACAAAAAAGACATTTTGCATTGGGCAAATCTGTTGCAAAAGACCTCTTTCAAGTGCTAAAGAGCAAAGACATCTCTTTGAAGAAGACTAAGATGCACCTAACCCAAGCCATAGTGTTTTCAATCGCCCCATATGCATGTGAGAGCTGGACAATGAATAAGAAAGACCGAAGAAGAGTTGATGTTTTTGAGTTGTGCTGTTGGTGAAGAATGCTGAAAGTACCATGGACAGCTAAAAGAACTAATAAATTGGTCCTGGAAGAAGTGCAGCCAGAATGCTCCTTGGAAGTGAGAGTGGTCAGACTTCATCTCACCTACTTTGGTCATGTTGTCAGAAGGGACCATTCTCTGGAGAAGGATGTCATGCTTGGTAAAGTGGAGGGTCAATGAAAGAGGGAAAGGCCCTCAACAAGATGGACTGACATGGTGGCTGCAGTGATGGTCTCAGGTATAGCAGGGGCTGTGAGGCTGGCAAAGGACCGGGTAGTGTTTTGTTCTATTGTACATAAGGTCACTATGAGTCGGAGATGACTCGATGGTACATAACAACAATATTCAACAATGCAGACACATTCTGTTTTATGATATTTACTGCTGTCCCCCCACTGTAACAGCATTCTTCCCACTTAATCTCTACACCCACCTTCCCGTTGTTCTTCCTACCTATCCTCCTCCACCTTCCTAGCTCTATCCCTGGGCAAATGCTCTCCTCTTGCTATCATATGCTTGAGTGTTATAATGAATTCATACATTCCTGATAATACTGTTAATAACTTACAGGTCTATTTCTCATTTGGCTGACAGTTGAGTCACAGGCATTAGGTTCAGTTCCTAGTTTGAAGGTGTCTAAGGGCCATAGCCTCAGAGGTTCCACCAGTCTTCGTCACACCAGTAAGCCTGGTCTTCTTTATGATTTTGAGTTCTGTTCCACATTTTCCTCACTCTATCCTGGACCTCTTATTGTGATCCATTTCAGAGCAGTCAGCAGTGGTAGCTGGGCACCATCTGCTTTTTTTTTGTCTCAAGGCCACGGAGGCTGGAGTTCATATGTTCCATTAGTCCCTTGAACTAATTGTTTCCTTCATCTTTGCTTTTCTTCACCCTTATTTGCTCCAGATGGGGAGAGACCAATAGTTGCACCTTAGATGACCACTCATACTCTTTTAGGAACTCAGTCAGTATTCACTGAAGTAGGATGTAGAACATTGTCTTTGTGGACTGTGTTATGCCAATTGACCTTATCATCTCCCTAGACTATAGTCCTAAGCCTCTATATCCATTGACTCATTCCGTTAAGGTATTTGATTATGACTAAGACATTTTCATAACTTTGTGCCCTGAAGGCTCTACTGCATTCATGGATGTATTTACAGCACATATAAATATATAGGTAGAGATAACCTCTGTAAAACCTATATATATTCATGGATGTAGTCCCATTTACTTTTCCACCCCTTTTCAGCTTGAGAATCTAGCTATGCATACACTCCCAAATTATTGTATTACTGTGATTGCAGGATTGTGTATGTAATAGTACTCACTTTTGTTGCCTTTAACTCTCATGCTCCTTCCTATGTCTTCCACTGCCTTGATCATTTTGTGCTGACCTCGCCTGTAGTGTATACTGCCTTTCCTTTCACCCAGGTTAATATGTATCTGCCCTCAAGTTGGTGATTTTCCCTCCTTTCTCCTCCTGCTCTTGGTGACCTTCAAAGAACAATTCTTTCTTTGTATAAACCTTTTCTGAACTTTTTACAAAAGTCGTCTCATACAATAATTTTGTGATTGACTAATTTCACTTAGGTTAATGTCCTTTATGGGAGCTCTGGTAGCATAGTGGCTAAGGCACTTGGCTGCTAACCAGAAGGCTGGCGGTTCAAACCCACCAGCCACTCCTCGGAAGGAAGATAGGGCAATCTACTTCCATAGTGATACTGCCTCGGAAACCCAAGGAGGGGTTGCTATGAGTCGGGTCCGACTCGATAGCACATAACAACAACAACAACAAATGTCCTTTAGGTTAATCTATGTTATGAAGTGTTTTGCAGATTCATTGTTATTCTTTAATGTTGTGTAGTATTCTGTTGTGTATATGTACTATAGTTTATTTGTCTATTCATCTGCTGATGGGGCTTAGATTGTTTCCATCTTATTGCTATTGGTAATAATGTTGCAGTGAACATGGGAATGCATAATATATCTGTTTGTGTCATGGCTCTTAATTCTCTAGGATATATACCTAATAGTGGGATTGCTGAATCATATGGTATCTTTCTTTTTCCAACAACTTAAGGAAGCACCATGCTCTTTCCACAGAAGTTGTACCATTTTACAATCCCACCAGCAGTATATGAGGGTTCCAGCCTCTCCATACCCTTGCCAGCATTTCTTATTTTCTGGGTTTTTTGTTTTTGAACTTTGCTATTGATGCTGGGGTAAGATATCTCCTTGGTGTTTTGAGTTGCATTTCTCTAATGCCTAATGATGACAAGCATTTCTTCATGTGTTTGTTAGCTGCCTGAATGTCCACTTCGGTGAAGTGTCTGTTCATGTTCTCTGCCCATTTTTCAATTGGATTGCTTATCTTTTTCTTTTGTTGAGGTGTTGAAGTTTTCTATAAATTTTGGAGATTAGTCTCTTGTCTGATATATTATTGGCAAAATTTTGTTCCCAGTCTGTGTTGCTATTGTTGTTGTTATTAGGTGCCATCAAGTCAGTTCCAACTCATAGTGACCCTATGCATGGCAAAACGAAACCCTGTCCAGTCCTGCACCATCCTCACAATCCTTGCTATTCTTGAGCCCATCATTGCAGTCACTTTGTCAATCCATCTTGCTGAGGGTCTTCCCCTTTGCTGACCCTCTGCTTTACTAAGCATGATATCCCTCTCCAGGGAGTGGTCCCTTCTGACAACAAGACTTTAGTAGGTTAGAAGAAGTCTGGCCATTCCTGCTTCTGAGGAGCATTCTTGTTGCCCTTCTTCCAAGACAGATTTGTTCATTCTCCTGGCAATCCATGCTATCTTCAGTATTCTTCCCCAACACCACAATTCAAAGACATCAAGTTTCCTTCAGTCTTCCATATTCATTGTCCAGCTTTCACATGAATATGAGGCACTTGAAAATACCATGGCTTGGGTTAGGCACATCTTAGTCTTCACAGTGTCATCTTTGCTCTTTAAAATTTTAAAGAAGTATTTTGCAGCAGATTTTCCCAGTGCAGTATGACATCTGGTTTCTTGACTGCTGCTTCCACAGGTGTTCATTGTAGATCCAAGTAAAATGAAATCTTTGATAACTTCAATCTTTTCTCTGTTTATCATGATGTTTCCTATTGGTCCAGTTGTAGGCCAATGACATTTTTCTTTTCTTTATGTTGAGGATAATCCATCCTGAAGACTGTAGTCTTTGATCTTCACCAGGAAGTGCTCCAAGTCTTCTTTGCTTTCAGCAAGTAAGCTTGTGTCACCTGCATATT